AGACAGACAGACAGACAGACAGACAGAGCGCTTTATATATAGTAAGGATACTACTAATTGGCTGTTCTCTCCCTCCACTGACGACTTCGCTATTGAACTTGCCATTACTGACTCCCTTGTCCAAACTTTAACGAGAGTGACTACCAGCGATAGCCCAGCAATAGCCTCCGCTCTCAACAATCACGAGCAAACTCAGGAAACGCTGGAACATACTTTACTTGACTACCTAAAAATCGACACTGAAATTGTTAATGTACACGGTTTCCGAATCAGTGGGTATCGCGAGGTCCATTTATTTGCTGCTGTGCAGCTATATATGGCCTCATGGGCGGATAAAAATTGCTTGTGGTCCCTCAGTGGTTGAGCAGTTCCAGAGAAAAGTCTCTTCGAAAGAGAGCATCGAAGATTGACTCAAGATGTTTCTCTGAATTAAGACGACAACCTTGAACAAGTAGATGACTACACAATCTCAACACACAACACCTTTAGGTAGCCGAATAGTCGTTGTTTGCTTGTTTATTTTTAACTCTAGAAACCACCCTAATAGGTTGATCCGGGTAGTCAAAGTTATCTCCTGGTACGACATCGTCTAAGTTATCTCGTCTGCTTTGACGGCCTCCTGCTGTTTTTTTCAACCATCGATGAGGCGTTAAGGATACTCAGGTAATCGGTGAAGGCAACAATGCGACCCAAGTGGCCGAAGATAAAGTGAAGATAGGAGCAAACAAATCTTCGACCACCAACTTCACCTTCACCTTGAAAATGTGGTTGTACCAGCATAGGTGTGCGTGCACTAATCGCTAAGCTTTAATTTCCAGACATATGAATGTGGGAGGAGGCTAGTCAACGAGCATATTGGTGTGGAGTTCCGGAAGAGGAGTCTGAGCTAAGGTAAAAAGCCTAACACGACTAATGCACTTCCGGTGCCGATCCCCTATTAGTGGCAGGCCACACTCTGCGAACGTTTAACATGGACATTAACAAAGCAGAAGAGGAACATGTGGGTAAAAGTTCACGAAAAATGCTTGTCATCGGCATAGTCGTAACTAGATGCTGAATGCTACAATAGAGAAGATGACACTCGCCGATGTCACAGCCAAAACTCAAAGGGCATGTCGATGAATTTGAGCCAAAAATTTCCATCAGTTGGGACTGGACGCGTTGCCAGGGAGTCAAGAACCCTAGGAAAGGAAGCAGATGGACTACCGACAAGGCGTTAGTGACAAATTTTGATTGGATGAATCGATGGTAACTCTTGAGGGGTGAGGGAGGGGAAGAAGCAACCGCTTTTTCCAACATTGAGCGATGCAGCGCAGAGAATGAGGAGGAGCTCAGTTTGATGGTGCTTAGAAACGCTTTTCAACGGAGATGTATAGTTTTTTAAACTTAATCCTCAGAAGGGAAAGAGCACAAAGGCGAATGAGTCAATTGAATGTTCAGTCCTTACCTTTTTCCCCAGCTTTTTGCGCGAGCTAATCATTCCACCCAACCCGATGCTACTCCCTTCCCGACCTCCTACTCCAAGCAAAAGTATGCTGGGCTATATTCCTTCCCTGCGTTTCTAAGCAAGAGTATACTGGGCTATATTCCTTCTCTTCTACGCTCTAGCTCTCAGAGCTAAAAACGAGGGGTACCCTCCCCCCCTCCCAACTACATTTTCACTAAGAATCGTTATCTTTTGATGAATCCCTAATCACAGCTTTGTTTTGAGAAGTTTGGGCCCTTGTTGATGGACCTTTGTTGATCGTTCCTTTGAAGGCTCTGATGGATACGATAAGGCCGCACATGAATACGAGTCACCCAAACCGCAGACGAGACTC